TTGAACCTAAAAATTTACAGCCAATTTTGAAAGAGATGCATCTTTGCTCTGGAAACTGTTATTGACTATGTCAATGCTGTTGTAATGAAATGCTTCTACTAATTATGTGGTTATTAAATAAATTTTTTAAAGTATACGTAAAAAAGAAAGGTGCTAAAGATGGTCTCAGGACAAGCCTCAGTGTGGACAAGAGAAAAGAGACAGAGAAATTTAAAATGTTTGCAGAGAGAACAGGGATCAGAAATCAAGATAGGGAATATTATAAAGCCAGGGGAATAAGTTTTTAGATAGAGACAGTAGTTTCAGATCCTGCAAATAAAGTGAAGCAGATGGAGACAAAGACTCTAGAGTTGGTGAGTACCCTCAGTGGTGTGGGAAGAGTAGAAGCTAGACCATCAGACAACTAAGTGGTCTGTGGGGGGGGAAGTAAACAGGTCATGTAGTGGTGAAGAAAAGAGCAACGAAAGGGGAATAGCTTTAGAAACTATCAAGGTTATTTTGAAGATCCCTGGTTCTGCTTTCCATTGCTTTTAGTTCTAGTTATATGATGTTGACTCAGGCCTTACTAATAAGATCAAGGCATGCTCAAGCATCAGGCAGAGGCGGGGGGACATACATAGGCCAAGCTGACCTCCCCCTCCCTGGTATTCAATGCACAGAGATTTACAGTGTACAGACACAAATATGAAAATTACATGTTTGTGTCTCTCCTTTAAAAACAAGATTAAAAGACTTAGAAAAGCTCATTTGCCCTTCAGAAGAGTGGCAATCAAAAGAAGAAAGGAAAGACAGAAGGAAAAAAGGAGGGAAGGGAGGGAGGGAGAGAGCGAAGGAGGGAGGGAAGGAGGGAGGGAGGGAAAATGAGAAGGGAAGGATAGAAAAGACACACAGCAAGTTGTGATGTGAAAGATACCATAAAAGACGAACTTGCTTGTAGAAAAGAAAGTCAACATAATCTAGGAAGGTAGTAAGTAGTAAGCCTGGCCAAACCTGGTCTTGAGTTCCTTTTAGGAAACCTCCTAGTTAAGTGAGTATCTCGCGGAGGGATCACCCTTTACCATGACTTCCTGTTCTCTCCAGCTGTGTCCCACAACCAAGGGTTGGCCCCTTGGCCCTTTATCCTTTCTGATTATTTCAGCCTCTCTCTGTGGAAATACAAAGTTTCTTTAAAACTAATTTATAAACACAGTTTTTGTCAGATCATGTGATGTGTTTAAAAGAGAGAAAGAAAAAAGAAAAGATTTTAAGTGTTCCCTACTTTCTATACGAGAAGAGTAAAATAGATTCTTCTCCTTGGCTTTCAAAGACCACACATCTAGCCTCTGATATCTGCCACATTTTAGTGCTCTTTCCTTCTTGCCCTAGCATATTCCTTGGCTATAATTAGGCTGCTTTGCCACAAACATTGACCTCAATTCAGTGTTTTCCCATCCCATGTTCCCCTCTTCTCTATTCAGATTCAATCCATTCTTCAAGGATTTATATGTTTATATATTTATCCTCTTGATTTTACTAGTTCTAATATTTTCTCTTTCAATTTTTACACACAAAAGTAATTCTCAATGAGAAAGAAGGAAAGAACCAGGCATATCTCAATCCTTTGGGAGCTTTCCCCCAAACTCACCTCTTCATCCTAAACCTATGAAACCTACCCCAAAACCACTTATGTCAATGCTCTGATGTGTGAATGCACCACATCCCTCATTCCACATATGCATGCCATGATGCATGAGTTCATTCTTAATTATACAGTGTATTCTTTTCACATGCATGACCATTGTATGATTCTTGGCCTATAAGCTCCTTGAGGCCAATGAAATTGCAGGTCACACTCCTGGCATCATGCTGAGCATACAACAGGTATTATACACCAGTGTTCCAGCACATGAGGAATAGATTTCCCTGGCCCATTTTGATGTTGGGAGTGAAATGTGAGTAGAAAAGAAACTCACATGCAGATACATGTCATGACTATGACTAAGCCTCCAGCAACCTTGTCCCTGAGTAGCTAAAAAATTCTCTGCCAATTTGTTTTGAGCATATAACAATATAGAAAAATAAATGATAAACTGCTGTCATATGAAGTTGCTGAGACTTAGGAACTTGAGGTTCTCAGGACGGGATCTTGGACCAATAGTATATGAGAGCCTGTTTAAAAATGCGAAATCCTTGGCTTTCTCAGCACTCAGGAGGCTAAAGCAGAAAGATTGCCTTGTATCTCATCCTTCTATGGATGTAGAGACAAGCTGTGATATTTTCAGTTACTGCCTCACCTCAAAGCTCTGCCTCTACTAGTGAGAGTTACCATTATAGGTATGGGAGTGTCGTTTCATAGCACATATATGAGCCCCTGGCTCATTAGGTTGCATTTAATTATACGAGATAGCTTGAATTGTGAACCTGTTTTCAGATATCTTGAAATATTCATGTCTTGGTATAATTCATGTCCCATGAGCTCTTGGTGGCCAAGCTCTGCTGATGCCCACTACTTCCCCCCAACCCCGTACTGAGCCCATTATAAATGATAGCTCCCTAATAATTACTTACTAAGACAGACCTTTCAGCAATATATAGTTGAGTGTAAATTTTATTTGGAGGATTACTATCATCTTAAATATCAATCCGATAGGCAATAAATATTGTCCAGTAAAATCACCAATGTATGTACAGTCTCATTTTATAGTATCAAAAAAATTCTCAGAAAGATCAAAACCCTCTGAATCTCATATATCTGCATAACCAAAAGTATGGTCTAGTCCTTCCACTTTATTTACAATATATATTTAGTAGTATATTTTAATTGACACATCCTTCTATTTTATTAACAATTTCTTTGAACACATATTTTAGACCAAATATATTTGCCATAGAAGCAGAAAGTTAATATACAATGCCACATATTTGATATGCATGTGTATTTTGGTTCAGGGGACTTCATTTTGGGTGCCCTTCATTTTGGATCATTTACAGATATTTAACAAGTTACTGCATACATATACTTTTTCCAAATGAAACAGTGTTTGAACACATGGGTTCCTTTGTTTACTTAGAGATTAAAATATACTTGAGCATTTTCTTAAAGACCTTAATATAAAGGTCAGAATTTGTATTAAGACACTTAGCACCCAGAGTACAAAATGAGACTTGAGTTCCTAGTCTAATGAGACTTGAGTTCTTAGGTGGAGCCAGTTTAACCACAGAGGTCAGCTTTCTGTTCTACTCCTAGGCTTGGAACTCTAATCACCTTTCTTAGTATTCAAGAATATCAGGCAGAAGATGCAGTGTGAAACATTAAAAACACACAAACAACAAACATTAAAGAGTGCTCACTAGGTACAGATGTGAGGCAGTCTTCATACAGCCCATACTCCTGTGATACCCACAGCAACATTGGATTGTATTTTCTATAGGAGTTACAAAGAAAACACTTCTGATTGACAGATGTGAGCAAAAAGGAACAAGAAGCATTGAAAGGCTAGCTGCCCCCTTCAAAAGGGGCAAGCAACCTCGTTTTCTGAAGATTTCAACCTCTCGTGCACTTTACTTTTTATACCAGCACCATTTTTTTTTCTCTACTGAGATCCCAGCAGGGTGGGTGGTCATGTCCATAAGTTATTTATGCAAGTATACCCAGAAAGTTATTCTGCCCTTAGCGGAATCAGTAGAAAGGGTCACTCATAGCGATGTCTCACTGTTGTACAGCCTCTGCCCATTGCTTTATTTAAACTTTCTCTTCCATTTGGGAGAAGTCTAAATGAGACTGATTAACCAAAGAGAAAATACTATACCAAGATACTATCAAAGGAATCTACCACGTGAGATATAGGAACTTGCACCCTTCGTTTCAGATGAGAACGCTGGAACCCAGAGGCCACACTGCCGCTCTGAGCAAAACTGGCCTCCTGATGGACACGGCTCTGTCCACTAACACCTGTGTCCTGCCTTCATTCTCTGGTCCTCTATGGAATTTTGCTCTAAAATACAAAGAAAATCCTTATGTGCTTTGCAAAGATATAAGAAGTTCTCACATTCTTCCAAGCAGTCCTTTTGGCCATATACAAGGTCAGGACAGGTGTGGAATCTGACGTGAAGTTGTATAAGGCCACATAGCCAGTGAATGTCAGAGTTAGAATCTGAGCTTGAGTTTTCTTCCTCCATTCCAGACTAGAGAAAATTGAAATCCCTGGATACAAACATTGATGATTGCTAAAGTCAGATTCAGATACTACAAAGCACACAGTGACAAGGCTTCTGGCACCAAGAGATGCAACACGTATAGCTTCTGATATTACCTCAAGCGATTTCTTGGGAACCTTGAATTGTGGCAGAATAAGACAGTGAGGAAGTCATAGGGATTTTCAGAAAACATAAGCATGATTTGTGGCATAGAACTTTATGTCTGGGTAAGTGCAAAACTGTGATGGATGGACAGAAGTACAATTAGGTAAGCTTAATCCTCATACTATTATAAATACAAGCCATCAAACCTAAAGTCTCGAAAAGGAGAGCTGTAGAGATGTTTATAACAATGACCAGGGAGTTTCAAATGGAAAGGAGCTGTCTCCTTTTCCCCGAAAAGAATGCAGAAAAGGTGCATCCAGCCTTTGACCACTTTAGGAGAAAAAAAACAATCATATGTGATGGAGACCTCTTCAGGGCTTATGTTTCATGCTTAGAATCTCACTCAGGACGTTGTTCATTCCCTAGGTAGAGGATGACAGAGAACCCTGGAAATGGAAGGGGAGTGGAGAAAGAGTAGGGTGACAAAAGACAACCAGGAATTGTCACAGGCCATTCCCAAGTGGGGACAAGCAATGTGTGCATACTTTTGACACACAATGGCCACAGTTTTAAAAAAAAAAAAAAGAGTACATCAGCATGAATTTGAGCTAAAAGAGATAAAGGGTAATACATTTGAGATTCCTAGTGGTCTTGCTTTCTGCCTGGCTGCACCTAACTGACTCTAAGGGATGACACCCACAGAGAGGAGAAAAGCATGTTTAACACCTGCTAGAGAGCCTACAGGTTGGTCTGAAGCCATGACAACAAATGATCTCTTTAAAGGTCTTCCGCATCTCTCGGCTACGGAAAGCATATATCAGAGGATCAATCGCAGAATTACACATGATGAGTATAAGGTACATGTTGAAATGAGACATAAAGCAGGAGCAGTAGATGTTCTGAGGGCATGAAATCATTAAGATGAGATGAAGGAAGAAGGGGGACCAACATACAATGAAAACTCCCAGCAGCATGGCAAGGGTAACGGCACCCTTCATGCTGGCCCTTTGCCTCACAGAACTATATCTGGGGGCAGCTGCTATCCGCTTAACATGAGTCCGTGCCATGACATACATGTGTATATACAGAGACACCATGAGGAACAGCATGGTGAAGAACATGGAGATGAGGCAAATGATAACATAAGTGGATTCGTAGTAAATGATGAAAACAATGCCACAGCCTGTGCAAAACGTCCATATGCATGCAATAATCAGCCCTGAGCGCCTTGTCGTCATGATGACGGGGTAGCGCAAGGCATAGAAGATGGTGACGTACCTGTCCACTGCAATGGCCAGCAAACTACACATGGAGGCCACCACAGAAATGCAGATCATGGAGTCAAATATATTGTCAATGTGACGCACAAAAGTGTCTGCTATCACCAGGTGCTTATTACTTATCAAGTATATGGTGATGGTCTCCCAAGCATTGGACGTGCTCACCAGCATGTCAGCAACCGCTAAGCTGCACACAAAGAAGTACATGGGTGAGTGCAAGTTCTTATTCTTCACTATGGCCCCAATGACCAAGATGTTCTCTAAGAGGCTGATGAGGCCCAGAGTCAGGAACACCTCCTCAGCGATGCCCATGTCTCCACAGGGCGAAGACTTGTTCTTGAGGTTTGGTCCTGAAAAGTTGCCCTCTGTGTCATTCAGGGTAAGATCCAAGAAATGTGGATGAAATGAGGAGTTCATTGCTGTAAGAAAATGCTTCCATCAAATTTACTGTAAGACAGGGGTTTTTCATGATTTTAAAGGATTAAGGATACACTATAGCAACACACAAATCATGCTAGTATACCCACAGCATGCATGCCTAGGAAATGGATGGGTACACACAACACACAGAAGCACTAGCCTACCTTGTCCCATTCTGACTTGTGTTCCTGACTTGCTGTCCCTCCAACATTAGGCTTAATGTTTTCACAAGCCTCTTCTTGATATACACTCATTCTGTCACTCTCCTCCTAGAGAAGCAGCTTTCATTTCTGTGTCAATCACAGCTTTACCTTCCATTCCTGGTCTCCCAACACCCAAGCTCACTCTCAAAGTGTCTCTGAAGTCTATAAAAATCCTAGTCACTCGCCAGATTTTTATATTTCTGGGGCACCACACTTTGTTCAACTGAGCTCAGATTTCTGAAGAACATACAAAGAAAATTCTCTTAAGACAGATGTGTGTGTTCTCATCATTGGCCAGGACTCTTCAAATCCTCCACAATCTGAGGTCTCCATGGTTGGAACTAAGACTAAAAAGAAGTGGTCGCTTGGTTTGAGCATAAAGACACACAGAAGTGGCTGCCTTCAATGTGTAAGCTTACTTTGCACATATGCCAAGTACAAAAAAGCATGGTGTTCTTCCCTCATTAGATATTTTCCTTGAATCCAGCATAATCTGCAGTTCATGAAACCTGATTACTAATTTCATAAATTCCACATGAGCACAGTATGAAGAAATATTTGTAAAATAATAAAACAAGACCTCTTGTGTTGTTTTATTTCTCTCTCATGGTTTATGTTCAAAAAAAAAAAAAGTACTTTGCCCTCCAAACTTAGAACACTTCTTGAGCGAGAGCTAGAAACTCAGCATTCTCACTGTATTAACAGTGAGATAAATTTATTCAATTGTAATCATTAGTTATACACTTAGGTCTCAAGAGGTATGGACTAATTCTACTGTTACATTAAACACCATATCTAGCTGCTATACAAACTTCCTGCACATGCTGGCTCACCCATCCTGCCCCCCGTCACACATAGGTGAGCACACTTTCTCACTCTTTCCAGGAAGTTTCTAGGACTTAAGAGAGTTGGGCGTATTTACCGGTGCTCCTCCTGGGCTCCGGTCCTGCATCCGGGCCAGGCGTCCTCACTGAACGCTTCTCTCTCCCTGGGCGCCTGGCGGACACCTGCGCGGACGCAGCAGCACAGCAGGGCCATCACCAGGTGAGGTCTCCTCCCAGCGTAGCCTAGCACCTCTCCTCTCCGCCTTTAAGCAGCTCCTGCCAGCCCAGATCAAGCCTCTCTGACTGACCCAGCCTCGTTCAGGGCTCCAGCACAGAGCCTGGGAATCTGGATTTACAGTACCACCTAGTGGTCAAACATTGGGATGCTTTCGGTGTGACAATTCCCCCGCCCCCCCGCCCCCCCGCAAAATGCTCACACCTGGATTTTACAGCTAGTCTTTGTCTTTGCTTTTCCTCCTCTTCTTCTAAGGCACTGATACGCCCGGCTCAGAGAGACAGCAGTTTACCAGCATGCCTGATGTCCCTAAGAAAGCCAGAGCCTGGAAGCTCCGGAAAACACACACATATAGGAGACCACAGGCTGGGTGGTCCTTTGGTACTGAGAATCTTATTATGGAGACAGCTGTGGAGAGGTTTCTTAACTGGAGACTGAGCCTGTATGTATGAAAAAGGGAATATGAAACAGGAATGGCTTCACAATCAGAGACAGAGACGCAAAAGGAGCTGACTTCCCAGTGAAGTGCTCAAAGCAGAATCTTCTGCAAAAGTTAGGTGTTGGACCACCCATCACTGTGCCTTCCGCTCTGAGCACGGTGATGTCCATCTGTATAGATGATCTTGTTTCTTTGGGGTTTGTTTTTGTGGGGTTCTTGTTGTTGTTGGATGGGGTTTGGGGGAAGTTGGTCTTCTTTAGACAGGGTCTCCCTGTAGCCCCAGATGGCCTGGAACTGGCCATGTAGACCAGGCTGTCCTCTGTCTCACAGAGATCCACCTGCCTCTGCCTCCAGAGTGCTGGGATTGAAGGCTAAACTTCTCTTAATATTTACAAAAACTATAGGAAATGTGTATTTTTTATCATTCCCATCTCACAAAGGAGAGACCCAAATTTGGGCTATATAGCAAAAGCAAGTTTCCAACTGTAACAAGATTTGAAGGCTGAGCAGTCACACACTTTTTCCAGCAGGCTATTGCCACTGTAAGGAGCCCTCATAGCCAGCAGGTATTGCTCCTTCAAGATGTTGGATTTGATTTGCAGTTTCCTTTTTTAAATATTTTACTTGTGTTTTTATTTTTTAATGTGTATTGCCTGCATGTATGTAAGTGCACCCATGTCATGCAATGCCCATGGAGGTCAGAAGAGGGCACTGGATTCCCCTGGAACTGGAGTTACAGGTGGTTGTTAGCTACCATATGGGTGCTGGGAATTGAACCCTAGTCCTCTGCAAGAGCATCCAGTTCTCTTAACTGCTGAGCCATCTCTCCAGGCCCTGATTTTCAGTTTTCTTGTCTTCATGATGTTGTTATCAGATTTGAGCATTTAGATTATCCTGATTTTATTAAGTAGACTGGGCAGAGATTTTGATTACTTTTCTATTCTCAAGCACTTTAAGAGGGTAGGAATTACCTGTTTCTTGCAGGAAATAATTGGATCGGTGTTAATGGAGTTGGGAAGATACAGACTAAGCTTTACAATTGTCTTTGTCATTGTAAATTTACTGCCTCCCAAATAGCATCCTAACAACAACATATAATACATACAAGGCAGCCTATGGAATTCCACAAGAGCAACTCCTTTCTCAGTTAAAGGTCAACACAACCATACAACAAACTCAGTGTTTCACTTTATTTCTTGAATAAACCGCTCTGATATGGTGGCTTATGCCTATAATTCTGACACTAGAAATCTGAGTCTGTAGAATTGTCATGAGTTTCAGGAGAACCTGGGATACAAAGTGAGACCCTGTTTGAGACAAATGAAACAAACAAATAAATTCAATGATAAATAAATAAATGACAGGAATGGTGATCCTTAGTTCAAAGGCACCTTAGTTCAAAACCCCTGAACTTGTGAAGATACATCTGTGGAGCTTCCAAGGGTGAAATATCTAGTTGGTCCCAGGAGGTTACTAAGATGTGGACTACAAGAACTTCCTGTGCACAGTACTTTGGGGAAGACTCTGAGACCAGGGTCTGCAGAGTGGGAGCCTCTGTACTCTGCCTGGCTGGTGACTAGGGGTCAGTCTGCCTCTGAAAAAGTATAAGCGTTGGCAGGACATGGCCAAGGCTGACCTAGAAGGAGCCAATGGCTAAAGAAGACTGGAGCCAACCCCCGCAGGGCAGCACAACATCATTTGAAGGATATCTCAGCAAATTCTTTTTTCTTTTCTCACTTTTTTTTGTGTGTGATGCTGAGTCTCATGTTTGCTACATAAGCACCCTACTACCACTGAGCTATAGCTCCGGCCATACACACACACACACACGCACACACACACTACTCCAGTTGATCTTGAAGTCATTCTGCAGCTTAGGCAAGACTTGAACTTCTGGTACTCTTGCCTCGAGCTCCTAAGTAGCTAGGATTGCAGTCATAATGTCTTTTTTAATGCATAAATAATTTATTGAGAATTTCATACATGTATATAAGGTGTTTTGATCAGATCCATGACCGCTTCCTCCCCTCCAACACCTCCCATATCTCCCCATCACTTTTTTCTGATAACTTTATGTACTCTTTCTTCTTCTTTGATTTTTTTTTTTTAAATGGGGCTTTTGGCTACTCTAACATTTCCCCCTCTGAAGAGGTAACCCTAAAATCTTTTAAGGATTAGATAAAAGTT